TCCAGTCAATGAGATACTGCAGCTTTCCCCTGCGGTATCGGGAGTCCAGGATGCGTTCCACCTCGTACTCAGGCTCTCCCGAACCAACACTGGCTGCGGTCGGGGACGGTTCTGGTGGAACTCGTCGGGTGGGGCCACCGGACTCAAAGGGACCTGTGGAAGACCGGGTGAACCTTCAGGGTTGCGGGTAACCGGAGACGGAATGCCACAGGAGAGATTTGGTCTACGATAGGGAACGGGCCGGTGAAGCGGGCGTCCAACTTCCGCGAAGGTCGAGAGGGGTGGAGGTGGCGAGTGGAGAGCCAAACCAGGTCACCGTCGCGAAGTTCCGGCCCCACCTGGCGGTGGCGGTCGGCCTGGGCTTTGTACGCTTCCTTGGCCTGGTGCAGTTGCTCCACCAAAAGCTGTTGCTGGGACTGGAGCTCTTGAAGCCACTCCGTCACCGCCGGGACCGCGGATGCCGGCAGCACCTCTGGAAACAGCCGTGGATGATAACCATAACTGGCCTGGAGCGGGGTCTGCTGGGTGGACGCATTCACCGCGTTGTTATAGGCGAACTCCGCCAATGCCAGGTGGTCGACCCAGTCATCCTGCTGGTAGCTGCAGTAACACCGGAGGTACTGCTCCAGCACCGCGTTCGCCCGTTCCGTCTGGCCATCGGTCTGTGGGTGGTAGGCTGACGAGAGGCAGACCTCTGTCCCGAGGGTCTGGTGTAATGCTCGCCAGAACCGGGATGTGAACTGAACGCCCCGGTCGGACACCACGCGCTCAGGTAGTCCATGCAGGCGGAAGACATGCTGAAGGTACAGCTGAGCAGTTTCCTTGGCTGTGGGTACAGATGGACAGGGAGCGCAGTGCACCATCTTGGTGAAATGGTCGGAGAAAACCAGAAGGCAGGTACAGCCACGAGACGAGGGTAAGTCCACTACAAAGTCCAACGAAACTGTGTGCCAAGGGCGCGGTGGAACTGGCAATGGCTGAAGTAGGCCGGGGGTCGCCCGGTAGGCCCCTTGGCGCGTCGGCAGACATCACAACCAGCAACGTAGCGAGCCACGTCAGCCTTCAGGCGGGGCCACCAAAACTCACGACTGACCAGATGGGTGGTCCGATACCGTCCAAAGTGCCCCGCTGCCGGGGCATCATGGGCCATCCGGAGAACCTCCAGCCGCAGTGGCCCTGGCGGGATGTACAGACGACCGTGGTGCAGCAGGAGGCCCTGATGCAGGACCAGCCCCGGATACTGTGGGCTGGACCCTTCAGCCAGCTCCCGGAGTCGTTCCTGGGCCCAAGCGTCGACCCGCTGCTGTTCCCGCACCCGAACCTGCAGTGGCTGCGCCTCCTGGGTGGCCAGGAATGCGGCCGGAGGTAGGATCGTGGCGGGTTCTGCTTGCTGTACCGTGTCTGCGTTGTCTTCAGGTTTCCGGGACAGGGCATCCGCCTTCAGATTCTGAGAGCTAGGGATGTAGCGGATCCGAAACTGGAACCGGGGAAAGAACAACGCCCACCGGATCTGTCTTTGGTTCAGCTTGCGGGTGGTCTGGAGGTACTCCAGGTTCCGGTGGTCGGTTCTTACCTCCACCGGATGTCGTGCCCCCTCAAGATGGTGGCGCCAGACCTCAAAGGCTACCTTGATGGCCAGTAGTTCCCGCTCCCACACAGTATAGTTACGCTCCGCTGGTAGGAGCTGGCGGGAATAGAAGGCACAGGGTAAGAGTGGCGCTTCGGGCCCAATCTGTTGAGACAAGACGGCACCGAGAGCCGTACTGGAGGCGTCGGTCTCCACCACAAAGGGTCGAGAGGGGTCAGGATGTTGTAAGATTGGTGCCCTCTGGAAACAGGCCTTCAACCCCTGAAACGCCTCCTCTGCCTCCTTGTCCCAGGAAAACGGCGTCTTTGGGCGCAGTAGCCGGGTCAACGGGGTGGTGCGATGAGCATAATCAGCGATGAAGGTCCGGTAGTAATTGGCGAACCCCAGGAATCGTTGTAGGTCCTTGCGGTTCGGGGGTGCCGCCCATGCTTGAACCGCTGTCACCTTCCCGGGTCCATTTGCACCCCATCCGGAGAGAGCCGGTGACCAAGGAAGTCCACAGTCCGCTGATGGAACTCGCACTTGCTGAGCTTTGCGTACAAACGGTGCTCACGCAAGCGCTGCAGCACGGTCCGGACATGTCCCTCATGGCGAGCCGGGTCACGGGAGTAAATCAGTATGTCATCCAAATACACCACCACGTACTTGTCTAACAAGTCCTGAAACACGTGGTTGATGTAGCGTTGGAACACAGCAGGCGCGTTGCACAACCCGAAAGGCATAACCAAATATTCGAACTGCCCGTACCGGGTCCCAAACGCTGTCTTCCACTCATCCCCGGCTCGGATCCGAATCAAGTTGTAGGCCCCCCGGAGGTCCAGCTTGGTGAACACCTGTGCCCCTTGCACCCGCTCCAGCAGCTCCGAGATAAGGGGCAAGGGGTATCGGTCTGGGACGGTAATTTTGTTCAAGGCTCGGTAATCATGGCAAGGGCGGAGTTCCCACATTTCTTCTTAGCGAAAGCACTGGTGCCGCGGTAGGCGAGGTGGACGGCCCTAATGAACCCACGCTCCAGGTTCTTGCGCAAGAAGTCCTGCAAAGCCTCGCGCTCTGGCTCTGTTAGAGAATATAAGCGACTCACTGGTAGAGGCGCTCCGGGTTGGAGGTCTATGCCGCAGTCAAAGGCCGATGCGGCGGCAGCTGGTCTGCCCCCGTTCCTCGAACACGTCCTGGTAGTCCTGATACACGGCTGGGAGCGTGGGTGCTGCCTCCTCTGAGGGCGCGGCCGCCAGCGTCCCAGATTGAGCATGGGAACATGGGTCTGGGAAGTGCACGGTCCGTTTGACCCAGTGAATCTGAACGTTGTGGGCTTCCAGCCAGTCCATCCCGAGCACCAGGGGAAGCGGGGCATAGAGGCAATGTCCAAAGTTCGCAACTCCCGGTGCTGCTGGAAACACAGGACCAGGGGCTGGGTCTCCTGAGTAACGGCACCTGAACACAGAAGTCGTCCGTCAATCGCTTCCACCTGGACCGGTACTGGCTTGTTCCAGTGGCACCTGATGATGGGCGGCAAAAGCAGCGTCCATATAAGAGCGGGTTGCCCCTGAATCCACCAAAGCATGGGTGGGGATCCAGGGCCCACCTGGAGGGTATAAACGTACCGGAACCATAAGATGTTGCGAGTCCATTGATGCAGGCCCATTCTGCGCGGTTTGGGACCCCCGGCAGCTAGGGCCATCAGCTACTGGGGTTGGCGGTTTCCCTGCGGCTGGCGTTTCTCAGGGCAAGACCGAGCGAAGTGTCCACTTCCGCCACAGTAAAGACAGAGATTTCCCTCCCGACGCCGCGCCTTCTCTGCGGGGAAAGGCGTGGCCGCACTGCCCCGAGCTGCATAGGCTCCTCCGTTAAATCAGTTGTGACCGTGGGGCTGCCGGAAAAAGCTGGTGCCGTGAACTGGAAGTGTCGGCGACCCGGGCCTGACGACGATCCTCCAACCGGTCGTCTATTTGTAGACTCCGTTGAATGAGAGTGTCTAGCGTGGTGGGGCGTTCCATTGTGGCCAACTGGTCCAGTACCTCGTCCGAAAGCCCTTCGAGATACTGGTCCCGCAGTGCCGAATCATTCCAGGTCAAGTCCTGTGCCAACAGCCGAAACTCCGTGGTATATGCGGCCACCGTGGACTTGCCCTGTTTCAAACGCCCGAATCGCCCGGTTGGCTTGACTCCCTTTCTGGGGGTTGCCGAGCGCGGCCTCCAAACGATTGCAAAACCCCGTATAGTCTGCCAGCAAGGGGAGTCTTGCCTGAGTAGCGGCAACGCCCACTTGGCCGCCTGGTCCTTTAACAAACTAATCAAAAAGTGCACCTTGGTGCGGTCGTCAGGAAAGTTCCGGGCTCGCCCCTGAATATACAGCTTGGCCTGGGCCAGGAACATGGGAAAGCTGGCCGGGGCTCCATCAAATTTCTCAGGCAAAGCCACTGGGTACTTGCCAGGAGCCGGGCGTCGGCCCCAGGAGCCGGTAGGGCTTCCAAGCGTTGTTGAAGTGCCACAACCGCGTCACTGAGCTGCTGCACGGTGTGAGTCAAGGCCTGGTTCTTCTGGGCCAAAGCCACCAGTGCAGCCGCCTGGTCAGCCATGGCCTCTGGCTCTTCCCGAACGCACCCCTACGAAGGGGGAGTGCGGGTGTGGCGGGAGCAAACTGTGCTGGTCCCGGGGGTGAGGTACCTTGGGTGTAGCAGAGTCCACACGAAGAGGGGCAAGGTCCGAGGCAGAGAGCCGGGCGGGGAACAGGAATGCTGGAACAGGAGGCTGTGCAGGGAACAGGAACACCGGATGGTCGGGAACAGGAGGCCGAGCAGGGAACAGGAGTACCGGATAGTCAGGAACAGGAAGCCGAGCAGGGATCAGGAACACAGGAAGGTCCGAAGCCAACAACGACGTTGCTCCCGCAACCTGGGGCCGGGCTGACTGGGCTTTTATCCTCTTCTAAGGCCAGGGGCGGTCCCGGTCCCCAGGAGCCCCGCCTCCTCTGGCCTTAAGGCGAGCACTCCTCCTGGGGGCAACCAGTTCCCTTCGCCTCTCTGCCCTAAGCCTCTGCAGATCAGGAGAGGCCGAAGGGTTACTGGGCCCTGGAGGAGGCTCACCTGTGGCCACTGAGTCATCAAGCCCCTCTGGGGCCCGAAGGGCTTCACCTGGGGCCAGCTCCTGATGCACTGCCACAGGTGCAGGCTCTTCAGCATCAAGGCCTTGCCCCAGTTCAGCCGGCCCTGGAGGCGGGGACTCCTGTGCAGGCCGGGATTCCTCTGTTTCATCCTCCGAATCGGAATCCCAGGCCATCACAGTACCGCTCCGGCGGGAAGGTAAACGGCGTTTCCGTGCGCTGCTCTGGTTTGCCAGAAGTGGCTTAGTCATGCTGGCCACATGACCTGGAAGCTGCATGCTGGCTCCCTCGGCCAGTAAAGCAAGATGGGCGCCAGGGGCCATGCTAATCTTCTCTGTATCGTTCCAATTTTAGTATATGTGCTGCCCTGCCAGATCTTAAACTTTATTATGAATCAGCTGCTTTTTGCTGGCTGAGAGAATGGGTGCTTCTTGAAAACACTGATGTGTTGGATCTAGAAGGTTTCAATAATGTATTCGGTTGGCATGCATACTTGTGGTACGGTAAGGTAAAAGCACATAAAGCGTTTAAAAATCATATTGTTAGAAAAGCATTGTTTAATGTCTGGATAAGATATAAGGATTTGTTAGAAAAGAAAACCCCAAGATGGTTGTCACCAATGGAAGCGAAGGCACAGAAAAACACAATATGGAGGCCAAATGGCCGAAATATTGGGAAATTCTGGAACAAGATGGAGACAGATTAAAATTGCAGAGCTTTGAAAAATTGAAAAACAGAGTGCGAGATTGGCTCCATTATTATCAAATAATGGAGGCATACAATCTGGACAAAAAAGTTGGTTTCCAGGTGGAAAAATCAAAATTGGAAACAGAATTGTTAGATCCAAAATCAAGAATTTGTCAAGAATGTATAACTTGCTGTTGAAATGGAACACTCAGGATGAAATGGTGAAATCAGCTATGATCAAATGGGCACAAGATGTTGGACATAACATAATGATGGCGGACTGGGAACAGTTATGGACCGCAGGTATGAAATTCACGGCATGTAATGTCCTAAGAGAAAATTTAATGAAAATGATTTATAGGTGGTACATGACACCAGTCAAGCTTGCAAAAATTTATCATTTGCACGACAATAAATGTTGGAAATGTAATGAGACTGAAGGTACATTCTTTCACCTTTGGTGGACATGCCCAAAGATTAAGACATTCTGGGAGATGATCTATAACGAAATGAAAAAGGTATTTAAATATACCTTTCTGAAGAAACCAGAGGCCTTTCTCCTGGGCATGGTTGGCCAATTGGTGTCAAAGAAGGATAGAACTTTTTTTATGTATGCAACAGCAGCAGCAAGAATACTCATCGCAAAGTATTGGAAGACACAAGATTTACCCACCCGGGAAGAATGGCAGATGAAGTTGATGGACTATATGGAATTGGCGGAAATGACTGGCAGAATCCGAGACCAGGGAGAAGAGTCGGTGGAAGAAGACTGGAAAAAGTTTAAAGACTATTTACAGAAATACTGTAAAATTAATGAATGTTAGGAAAATGTTGAAATGAAGTTATATGGCTTTAGTAGAAATGTTATAAGGAATTAAGTATAAATAGATTAATAGAGTATTAAAAGGAAAAATAAGGTTAGAATGTGTTAAGATAATTAAAGGATAGAAAGCAGAGGAAGATGGAAAGGAATTGCTGAAACAATTAACAGAAGTGGAATACAAAAAGGGAGGTGTGAGGAGGTCATTGAAATAAATGAATGAAAGATAAGTTATTGAAACTGTTTGATGTGTTTTAAACTGTTTTTGCTTTGTTTTGTTAGTTTAATGTGTTAGTGTTATGTACTGTTTTTGTATTGTATTGTATTGTATTGTATTGTATTGTTTATGTTTTTTGTAGTGTTTAAATTGTTGGAAAAATAATAAATATTATTTATTAAAAAAAAAGTAAAGCAAGATGAGCGCCGCAACCCCAGAGTCGTTCGTGACTGGACCTAACGGTCAGGGGTCCCTTTACCTTTAAGGTGATATTCAACTAAGTCCTACTTTGGGTAGACTGATTAACTTCAATGGATCTACTCTTAGTAGGACTAACATTAAATACCACACATAACTACTAATCACCCACATTTCATTCATATTGAATACAAAAAATATAACTGTTGACCATTACCGTATAATCCTTTCTTTCAGACTTGGCTCCCAAACATGTGTGGCTCTTGGGCCACAGCATAGTGCATTGGGCAGCTGTCCAAGCCACCACGGGTTCATCTGGTGAATATCTGGGCCTTCAGCCAAAGGTCAACATTTCGTGTGCTGGGATGTGCTGCTGCCTTGGTTGCGTCAAGAGCTTTTGTTCCATCCCCCGCCGGATGCAGTTGCGTTCCACCTTGGTGAAAATGACCTGGTTGTTCGTAAGAGCATAGCGCTGATGAAAACAGCAATCACAGACCTGGAAAGGTTGTATCCCAAGCACCCTAACATAACTATATTCTGGTCAGCACTTCTCCCATGCTTACAATGGCGTGGCAACCTCAAAACTAACAGACTTAACTACACCAAAAAATGAATAAATAGGGCATTGCGCTTGGCAACCTTGCGCATTGGGGGTCTCGTTGTGAAGTACCCCAGCATCAAAATCTACAGGAAGGAACTCTTCAGAGCCGATGGTGTGCACCTATCAGCCATCAGTAATGATTATTGGCTGAGCGACATTAGGCATGGCCTTTTGGAACGGATGGTGGATGGTGAAGCGTCCGTTCAGGTATAGGTATAGTCTTGGCAGCGAGACTGCGATTTTGCAGCCTTGGGTGGCGGTTTCAGGCCTTGGGCGGAATCCTTTAGTCTATCTTCTTAAATGGGGGGGGCGTGAAGTGGTGATCCATGGCCCCCTTGCGGTGCTGATACCAGGGTTCCCCGTTAAAGGGGTCTTGAGGGGAAGCATTGGCCATATGCTGAGAGGTTGTCATTGCTCTCCCCTCCAACGGCAGCAAAACGGGGAGGGGGGCTCTCTGCTTGAACATATGTTCTCCAGAGCCAGCCCAATCACCACACATTCTGGATAACCCTGAAGTCTCCCAGATCCCCGGCTGGGGACTAGGACGGATAAACACCCAATGCCTGAGCCAAGGTCTCCCTACATCTGAAACTTAATAAAGTTGTGGCCAATTTTAATCCCATAGCACGTTGTCTTGAGTCATTATTCCACTCGGGGGTCGCCTGGGGTTGGGGGGACTCCGCCTGTCCACGCAATGACCATTCCTCCCATCATCAAATGCTTGCGCACAGCCCCCCAGATCCCAGTGCGACTCCTGGTGATTTGGGCTGGCTTCATCCTCCCCAGGCTGGATACCTGGAGGTCTCTGCCTACCTCAGCCAATCAGCCAATCCCGGGACCTCCGCTTGAGGTGCCACGGAAGATGGCTGACAATACCATCGCTCCAGCTCCCACAGGGTAATTAGAGGCTGAGATGGGAGTCATCAGCCTCCCAAATTCTTCCTGGGGTATGGGAAGATGCAGTCTCATCCGCGGATGCCCAATAAATCACCCCCAAGTTCGTAAAGAAGGAGGGGGTGGGGGCACTGGATGGAAAGCCCCCGAGGGAGTTCGGATCTCCCGGACGCTGTCCCCGCGAGCGCACCAAGTTCCATTACTTAAGCTGAAAAATTGGATTTAAGTTTTGGACATGCTTTGAGTGAGGAGGGGGAAATTAATCTGCCAATTAAGCCAGCCACTGAGGTGCCAAAAGATACGGAGTGGAAGAAGGATAACATCTAAGTTGGTATGTTGGAACGGAATGGAAAAGGAGGGGGGGGGTAAAGCCTTTTTTAATATTGTACTCTGATTTATTTTAATACTTGGCAAAAAAACAACAACAGAAGAACTGTTTACATTATTTATAGCAAGCGAGATTGGAAAATATAAAATGTGTGGAAATAACAATATTATATACTTAAAGCTCCTGTTTTTTTGAATTGCCTGGAAGAAGATAAAAGACCTTCCAAATGCTGATTTTAGAAAGAAGCAGGATCCCGTTAGCCACTGGAGAGACTTCAAAAAACTTTGGATGGGTTCTTAGAATGTTGAGATGTGACGCACTTTTTAATCGGGAAATTCGCCATTATTGAATAAGACCGATCTGCAGAGTTAGAAATAGTTATGGGGGGGTGAGCTCTTAATATGTCATTATGTCAATATGTCTGTATTTCAAGCCCAATTTGGTAAATCTCCTCTGGAAAGGCTAATGTTTGATGCAACCGGTCTGGGAAAATTAATGAGCAAACGCCTAGATTTGATTTCATTGGAATTGAAAGAAGATGGCGTCTGCCAGCAGCGAAATGACTTTTGGATTGATTCGGCATAAACACCAGCGTGTGAGGAGATACTGCAACAACAGCGGAGTCATACACATAAAATCCATTTCAACTTGCTTGTGGAAAGAACTCAGAGGCCATGAATGAAGGAAGGTTAACAACAGGAAGATTTAAAGGAACCATTGGAAAGACTATTCAAGGCAGCAGAGATATGAGATGATCAGAGCCCCCCCCCAAACTTGAAGCATGGGAAGTCGTCCCCCCCCCCAAAAATATAATTTAGGCAGAATATTTGGACTATTTGATATGTACTTGTATAATTTGAAACATTCAATGTGATTTGATTGGATTGTTAAAATGGGAAACTTAATAAAAATGATTATAAAACCAAAACAATCACCCACTCCCGCCTGGGGTGGCGTTGCCAGGGGATTGGCCAGGTAAGGGGAGGGACCGTCCTGCCCACACAACAGAAGGTGAATCTTACCTGCGAAGCGGCAGCTCCCACCCTCCCCTAAGTCTTTTTTTGCAGGTTAACCTCTTCTCCACAGGTACGCAGGTGCTGCTACATCAGGGTCGCTGTTAAAGGGCCGGAAAGGAATTTTCCTGCATTGGCAGGTTATGCCTTTCCCGTAGCAAAATGTCACAACTTTGGCGGTTTCAGGCCTTGGGCGGAATCCTTTAGTCTATCTTCCTAAATGGGTGTGTGTGTGAAGCGGTGACCCATGCCCCCCCCCCCGTTAAAGGGGTCTTGAAGGGAGGCATTGGCCATATGCCGAGAGGTTGTCATTGCTCTCCCCTCCAACGACGGCAAAACGGGGGGCGGGCCCTCTGCTTGAACATGTGTTCTCCAGAGCCAGCCCAATCTCCACACATTCTGGATAACCCTGAAGTCTCCCAGATCCCCGGCTGGGGACTAGGAAGGATAAACACCCAATGCCTGAGCCAAGGTCTCCCTACATCTGAAACTTAATAAAGTTGTGGCCAATTTTAATCCCATAGCACGTTGTCTTGAGTCATTATTCCACTCGGGGGTCGCCTGGGGTTGGGGGGACTCCATTGCCTGTCCACGCAAAAGATGAGTTCAATATTTAGTT